TACTCATGCCCTTGCCACCTGCACGCCCCCTACTGGGGACTGAGCACACAACCCCCCGGGCATGTGCCCTGCCTGGGAACCATGGAACTGTGACCTCCTGGTGCATGGGGCAATGCTCAACCACTGAGCCACACAGGTCGGGCAGGATGGGATAAACACATCCTATATAATAAAAGCCCAATATGCTAAGTGTCCAGTTGGCCATTCAACCAATCAAAGCATAATATGCTAATGACATGCTAAGTTTGCTCAACAACTCGCTATGATGTACACTGACCACCAGGGGGCAGATGCTCTGACCCATAGGTTAGCTTGTTGCTGGGGTTCAGCCCATCGGGACTGAGAGAGATGGGCTGGACACGCCCTGGAGCCCTCCCACATCCCTCCCTGACCCCGATCATGCACCAGTGGGGTCCCTCAGCCTGGCTTTCACCCTCTTGCAATCTGGGCTGAGGGACCCCCTACTCAAGTGCAAAAATTCTGTGCACCGGGGCCTGTAGTCAACAATAAAACCAGATTTTTGTTTTAATCCTACCCAAGGGTATCTCCCATGGATCTTAGAGAAAGGGACATGTCAGTTGTGTACCCAGCAGGGCTGTTCCCAGCACCGTGAGGCCCGCGGGAACCAAGCATTGCCAATACCACCTCGGACGTCCACGCTGGCTCGGTGCCCTCTGCCCCCGGGGGCAGGGCTGTTCCCCACCGGCTGGGCTGTGGTCCACCCCAGCCCGTCTCTGAACGACCTGAGGGCTCACTCCAATGTCGGCGTGTCGTGTGCCTACAGCTAAACCCACACCCGGTTCTGGCGTTTTCCACCGGCCCCAGCACAGCCAGCGGGACGGGTGCTCGCTGTGTGGGGACCCGGGTTTGGGGTGTCCACGGCTCCTTCTCCCTCACATGGTGTGAAGACATCGTCCGTCAGCCGGTGAGGTCTCTTCTGCCCGGCCCCGCAGGCCCCTTCCTGCACTCAGCCCCCCGCCTCCTGCTGTGCTGACAGCCGAGTCTCCCTCTGCGCTAACCTGGATGTCCCCTGTGCGGCTGCCGTACTCACACGTGATCAGCTGTGTCTTCATTCACAGCATCAGCCCTGTCTGTCCTCTCGTCAACCCGGGGCCTGTCCTCAGCATGCCCACCTGCCCTGCCCTCAGCACACCCACCTGCCCTGCCCTCAGCACGCCCACCTGCCCTGCCCTCAGCACGCCCACCTGCCCTGCCCTGCCCTCAGCACGCCCACCTGCCCTGCCCTCAGCACACCCACCTGCCCTGCCCTCAGCACGCCCACCTGCCCTGCCCTCAGCACGCCCACCTGCCCTGCCCTCAGCACCGCCCACCTGCCCTGCCCTGCCCTCAGCACGCCCACCTGCCCTGCCCTGCCCTCAGCACGCCCACCTGCCCTACCCTCAGCATGCCCACCTGCCCTGCCCTCAGCACACCCACCTGCCCTGCCCTCAGCATGCCCACCTGCCCTGCCCTCAGCATGCCCACCTGCCCTGCCCTGCCCTTAGCATGCCCACCTGCCCTGCCCTGCCCTTAGCATGCCCACCTGCCCTACCCTCAGCACGCCCACCTGCCCTGCCCTTAGCACGCCCACCTGCCCTGCCCTCAGCATGCCCACCTGCCCTGCCCTCAGCACCACCCACCTGCCCTGCCCTCAGCACACCCACCTGCCCTGCCCTCAGCACGCCCACCTGCCCTGCCCTGCCCTCAGCACCACCCACCTGCCCTGCCCTCAGCATGCCCACCTGCCCTGCCCTCAGCACACCCACCTGCCCTGCCCTCAGCATGCCCACCTGCCCTGCCCTCAGCACACCCACCTGCCCTGCCCTCAGCATGCCCACCTGCCCTGCCCTCAGCATGCCCACCTGCCCTGCCCTGCCCTTAGCATGCCCACCTGCCCTACCCTCAGCACGCCCACCTGCCCTGCCCTTAGCACGCCCACCTGCCCTGCCCTCAGCATGCCCACCTGCCCTGCCCTCAGCACCGCCCACCTGCCCTGCCCTGCCCTCAGCATGCCCACCTGCCCTGCCCTCAGCACGCCCACCTGCCCTGCCCTGCCCTCAGCATGCCCACCTGCCCTGCCCTCAGCACGCCCACCTGCCCTGCCCTGCCCTCAGCACGCCCACCTGCCTTGCCCTCAGCACCGCCTGCATAACACACAGCCTGAGGAGAGGGACGGCCTCAGGATGGGGGTTTCTGTGCTGCGGGCAGTGCTGTGTGGGGGGCGGGGGCGGGGGTGGGGGTGGAGGAGGTGGGTGGAGAGGCACACCTACTTCCTGGGGGGGGGGGATGCCCAGGGAGCAGCCAGGGGCGGGGGAAGGGGATGTGGCAGGCGGACAGCTGCCCTCTGAGCACAGGGCTGAGGGGACCGTCTCCTGCACCATTTCGCTGTTACAGGAGCAGAAGCAGAGGGTGCAGGGGGCTCAGGGAGGCGAGGTTCAGACACAGGCACCCGCTGACCAGCGGCCGTGAGCACAGGCCCCAGGTCACAGCCAGGCTCCAGCTCCTGCCGGTGACCACGGACGTCAAGCACGTCAATCCCAAAGGCTGCACAGGCCACATACACGGGGCATGCGGCCCACGCCACACGTTTGACGTGCTCAGCGTACATCGTGGCTCCTCCACGGAGAAACCCAGCATCTGGCAAGTTTCTGGCAGGCCCAGGCCAGCCTGCTGTCCGGTGGACACGCCCAGCAGCCCGGCCCAGCAGCCTGTGGCCCAGAGGATAATCCCTCTTCAGTTCCCTCCAGATGTGGGTGTCAAACAAGGCACCCGCTGCTCATACACGCGAGGCCCACAGCACCCCCTCCTCCGGTGACCCCAGGCCGCTCTCTGCCCCGGAGTCTGACTAGCGGTCAGACCGGCCTGGGGCCACTCGCGCGGCAGGGGCCCGGGCAGGCAGGACTGTGGGGTCTGAGCACAGCACGGCCTCGGCAGGAGCAGACGAAGGGCCGGGGTGCCCGCCTGCCCCCCACCGCGCCACCCTGCCTGGGCAGAGGGGCAGGCAGGTGTCTCCCCACACTGGTCTGGAGGTCCAGCACCGAGGGGCCGGCCTGTGGACAGGGAGTCGTGTGTCCCCACCTGGCGGAGGTGCCAGCATGGGGGATGTGCAGAGCCGATTCCCGGGTTACACCCAGGCTGAGCCAATGAGCACGAGACTGTCCCGGAGCACGGTCCCCGAGGCCGGGCATCTGAGGACCCCATCCTGAGGCCGTCCCTCTCCGCCAGAGCCGCTAGCTTCCCTCACTCAGGCAGAACCTGCGGCCCGGCCGCCAGCGTGCTCAGGGATGACCTCCACCTGAGCCAGGAGGTCCGGGTTCCATTCCCGTCAGGGCACAGGCCCAGATGGCGGGCTCCATCCCGAGTGGGGCATGCAGGAGGCAGGATCCATGATTCCCTCTCACCCTTGATGTTTCTCTCTCTCTCCCTTCCCCTCTGAAATCAAGAAAACATATTTAAAAAACTCCACTGTGGTCCCCGGCGTGGCCCCCAGGCCGGACTCCCGCCGCCCTCCCTGAGCAGGGAGCCGAGTCTCGCTCTGGGCGGCAGCGTGTTGGCGTTGTGGTCCCGTGTGGCGTGACCATGACCAGCCGTGGGGTATCCGCCCAGGCGCCTTTTAAACACAAATGAGTGGAAACCTTCTTGAAAACGCCGTTTATTAGAGAATCTAGTGCACGTGTGGGACATGAAGCCCACCTCTTCATCAGTCCCGGCTCGCATCAGCCGCCAGGAAACAGCCACACGTGACAGTTCTGGGTCTGGACGAGGTCCGGATCCGTGGCGGGACCTCAGGGCAGCAGGTCCCCGTGGTGGTAAACATTCCCACGCGTGACCAACACACCGCTTCCCACGCGTGCGCACACACAAACCTCGGGGCCCGTCTCAGACACACGCTGGTCACACATGTATGTGGCGAAATAAAACCTGAATAGAAATTGTTGTAAAACGGAACCTGAATAAAATGTATCCCGACGCCTGTCTCCTGGTAAGTCGCGTTTATTGTTAGCTCTGTCACAGCGCGGTCCGGCTCCGTCCGTCCGGGGCGCTCGCTGACGCTCTCCGGTCCCCGCAGTGCGGCCTCAGCCCCGCGCACTCGGGCCCCGGGGCCGTGGCGGGGCCGTGGCGGGGCCGTGGCGGGGCCGTGGCGGGGCCGTGGCTGCGGCGGCCGCGTGGGGGAGGCAGCGCGTGGTCCTGCGTGCAGCGGCGGCTCCCGGCGGTGAGGCCGTCATGGCGCCTGCGGAGGACGCGGTCAGGCTGTCCCCGTCCTCCCGCGTCCGTGAGCGTCATCGTGGCCCCGCCGTCAGACACGGCGCCAAAGCGCCCAGAAAGGGAGCCACACGCAGTGCAAACGCGACGTAAACAGACGACTGAAGCAGCGGGAGTGGCCGGGGCGTCACCGCTCCGGGTGAGGATGTCGCCGTCGCTGTCCCTGCGCGCCGGCCGCAGTGGCCAGAGCCCGGGGCGTGGCAGGGGGGGGCGGCGGGGGCAGGAGGGGCAGGAACTTGTTCCAAACGTGGCTTCTAAGGAGCCTGAGTCTGTCCCCTCACCGCCACGTGGCGTCTGCGTGAACGGGGCAGACGGAGCGAGGACAGAGGGACCACGCACCTGGCCCCTCCGTGGCAGCCTGTGGCCGGGCAGCGAGGGCGACGAGGGCGGTCAGTGACCGTTCTGGAGTCACAGCTGAAGGCGGCTTCGGCGGCAGTGGCCAGGCGCCAGGCTGCCGCCCGCCCCGACCACTCCGCTGACCGCTCCGCTGACCGCTCCGCTGACCGCTCTGGCTGCCACCGCAGCAGCCCCAGCCGCTCCCCGCAGAGGACGGAGCGTGACGGCCATCCACATGCTCCCTGAACGGCACGCTTTCCCCAGAGCGTCCACAGCCCGGGGAAAAGGAAGACAAAAAAAACAAAAAAACCTAAAGTAAGCACGAAACACGGAGTGCAAACCAGGCGCTCTCCCCTCCCCTCCGCCTCCTCCTCGGGGGCGAGGGAGGCTGCTGCGTGTCCTGAGTTTGGCTTTCGGCTCCGGAGGGAAACGGTGCTGGGGCCCTTCATCTCACTCCGGATGCCGCGCCCTGAACACATGCCCGCGCCGGCCACACCCCTCGGGGAGCACACGCTCACACGCAGGCACACGGCTCAGGGGAGCACACGTGTCAGGGCTCGGAACTGCACTGGCCTCCGATCACTCAGGCCCGAGCAGTCTGGGCGGCGGCATGGGCATCGGAATAAAATAGGTTTCGCTCGAGGTGGGTGCTCCCACGGCCGCCCGGCACGCAGGTCACGTTAGTGGATCAGAGACAGGTTAGAACTGCTCGCTGACGGCTCTCGGGTTAGACTACGGGCAGCAGTGACACGGGCGACGGGGGGGCCATGGGCCACGGGGGGACACGGGCCATGTGGGTCATGGGCCACGGGCCACGGGGGCACGGGCCATGGGGGACACGGGCCACGGGGCCACGGGGCCACGGCTGCGGTCACTTGGACTTCTTGTCCTGCGGGACGTGGCCGTTCCTCTTGCACCTGCCGTTGAGGACGCCATTGGCGTGGTGTCCGTCCGCGGCGCCGGGCCCGCGCCAGGCCCAGCAGCGGCGGGCCCGCCTGCAGGCGAGGGGCACGGCCCAGGTCAGCAGGGCGGCCAGCAGGGCGGCGGCCAGCAGCAGCACGGCGACCACGTCCAGCAGGAAGTACTGCCAGAAGGACAGCTGGTAGACGGCGGCCTGCAGGTGGCGGGCGCCGCGGTGGCGCAGGACGTACTCTATCCAGTACACGGAGCGCTCCACGGGGTGGCCGGGCTGGTCCCGGTGGATCTCCGACAGCTGCCGGGCCCGCCTGCGGAAGCTGCGGGAGAACGGGGTCACGGGTCCGCCCTGGCCGCCGTGACCGAGCGGGAGGGCAGCCGCGGGCACCCCGGTCCGGCCGCTCCGGGCACCTCCTCAGGCCACAGCCCGTGCCAGAGCAGCGAGGAGCACGGAGGCCGGGCCTGGCTGTGCTCACAGCGGCTCTGGCGCACACCGAGCACCCACCCCCCCCGCAGGCCCTCCTCTTGGTAAGGGGCCCTCGTGACCCCCACGGGCCCCGGGACAGAAGCGCCCCCGGTGGAGCCGGTGCCACAGGCTGTGCCGCGAGGACTCCCTCCCGGCTCCCCCACCGCCTGCTTCACATAGTGAACCTCCGGGTGCAGAGGGGCCCCCACACAGAGCGGCTCAGGACCCCACCGCGGCCTCCGTCACAGGGTGAGGAAGTGGGCGCCTCCTGGGCACCATGGCCGCCCCTTTAACTGGAGCCCCGAGCTCACGGTGCCGCTGACGCCAGCCAGCTCTTCCGCAGGCCGCGGGGCAGTCCCTCCCGGCCACGGCCAGTGGCCAGCAGACACGGGCGCCCGGCCACGCCTCCTGCACAGGAGCCTGGGGCACTGCTCCCCGCCCTCACACTGTGCGGCAGGAGCTCGCTCACCGCACAAACGCTCTGCCGGCCGGCAGCCGGCATGCTGGAGCCGCCTGGTTTTCGCAGAGCAGCCGCCTGGCTGGCGGGCTCCGTGGCTGAGCTCTGACCCACGCCCAGGAGGTCACAGTTCCGTGCCCGGGGTGAGGACTCAATCCCCAGTGCAGGCAGGTGGAGGCAGCGGCCGTGGCTGCCGACCCAGGATTCCCTCTCATCATGGATGTTTCTCTCTCCCCTCTCCCTTCCTCTCTGAGATCAGTAACAATACGTGTTGTTGTTTTTAACAGGGGGGCTGCTGTGATCCCCTCTGAGGCCGCGGAGCTGAAGCCCTGGGGAGAGCGGCCGGCCAGCGCACAGCGGCGGCTCAGCGACAAGATGGGCTCTGGCAGCCCGGGCTGCGTGGGCGTCCCTGAGGCCCCACGGCCCCTGCGCGGCCCCCGGAGTGTGGGCACCAGGGCTGTTCTCCCTCCGGCTCAGGAGGCCCTGCGGGAGGCGACCCGCCGGTGCCACGGGAGGCCACGCCCACAGGAGGCCTCGCTTAGTGAGGCCGCGCCTGAGGCCACGCCCACGGGAGGCCGTGCCCACGGAGGCCGCGCCCACACTGAGGCCACGCCCACGGGAGGCCGTGCCCACGGAGGCCGTGCCCACACTGAGGCCACGCCCACAGGAGACCACGCCCACAGGAGACCGCGCCCACGGGAGGCCGTGCCCACGGAGGCCGTGCCCACACTGAGGCCACGCCCATGTAGGCCGCGCCCACGGAGGCCGCGCCCACACGGAGGCCACGCCCACGGAGGCCGCGACCGGAGGCCGTGGGCCCGCTGCGCTCACCTGGGCTCGGCGATGACCCGCACCAGCGCGGCGTGCAGCTCGGCCTCGGTCAGCGTCTTCCACTCCAGCAGGAGCCCCATGCCCTTGGCCTGCACACGCGTCATGGTGTCGTAGTGGTCGCCGAAGAGCGGGATGCCCACCACGGGGACGCCGTGGTACATGGTCTCGAAGATGCTGTTGAGGCCGCCGTGGCTGAGGAAGGCCCGGGCGTGGGGGTGCCCTGGGAGCAGAGAGCGCGGCCGGTCACCCACGCCGGGCACTCGGGCCTCCAGCCTGTGCCCTGTGCGCACCCCGCCGCCGGTCCCCTGGCCTCCAGCCCGGAGGCCTCTGCCCGCACGGCAGCCACGGCGGCTGCCTCCACCTTAGGCCACGTCACCACGAGCCACACGCTGCCGGGGTGGCTGGGTTACAGCCCGTCAGGTACAAAAGCCTGTTTGGAGCAGCGAGGCTGCAGCTCTGAGAGGTGTACCCCACGCTCTCCCAAACACAGACACCCGCCCCGCCACCCACGGAATCCCACCGCGTGGGAGCTGGAAACGGCAGCCTGAGCTCCTGAGGGCAGATGCGGCCCTCTGCGCCGGCGCTGCCCACTGAGCCATCCCGTCCGTGAGAACTGCTGCGGGGACGGGGACTGGGGCTGGGGCCCCGTGAGCCAGGACACCGACCCACCTGCACACCCTGCACAGGCCACGTGGGCAGCCCCTCCCCCACAGGCCACGTGGGCAGCCCCTCCCCCACAGGCCACGTGGGCAGCCCCTCCCCCACAGGCCACGTCAGCACCCCTCCCTGACACCAGGCCATTTGGACAACTCCACTCCCACTCCCTTGGCCACGACCAGGCCACGTGGGCATCCGCACTCACCATTCAGGGTCACTCAGGGACAGACAGATGGGACACTGGTGACAGGGCCGCCATGGGGATAAGAGCGGGAACTGACCAAAGTGAACGGGGTGCTGCAAACCCAGCGCCACGTGGACAGGGCAGAAAAGACGTGCCCTTGTCTTCTGAAAACAGCAGGCACAGGGGCCCGTGGCCTGGGACTCGGGGGCCCTCCCGCGCAGCCCCAGCACCCGGCGGGCGGTCCCACGGGGCCTGTCCCTCGACCACAGGACCCCCTCTCCCTGAAGGGAGCAGGCGGGGCTGGGTGCACGCCTCGCCCCCTCTGACCGCAGCCGGGAACGGCGTTCACAGCGCCTGGTGATTAGGGGGCGTTTATGCGGATGATCCAAATAAAGTCAGGATAAGCGGCTATGTCCTCGGCCTCTGCTTGTCTTTGGTTTTCAGCTAATGAATAATTCTGTGTCTCTGTAATAAACTGTGACCCAATCTACATTTCCACTGTGTTAATTACGGCTTCAGGCAATTAGTCTAATGAGGTGTAACTTCACGCCTGCTGACCTGTAGTCACGTGGAGTATGTGCCTGTTTAAGTGTATTTTCCAGAAAATCAACATCATGACCGATCAGGACTCCACACAGGCCAGTGACCAGCCTCCGCACGGCCTCCCGGCAGAGGGGAGCGCAGGTGCCAGATGATGTCACTGCTGCCTCCTGGGGCAGCCCCAGGTGCACACTGGTGCCGAAGCCTGGGTCAAGGTCACACGGCTCGTTAGTGTCGGAGGGCCTGGGTCAAGGCCGTAGATATCAGCAACAGCAGGGTCTGAGCCTGGGTCAAGGCCGTGTGCGCACAGCAGGGTCTGAGCCTGGGTCAAGGCCGTGTGCGCACAGCAGGGTCTGAGCCTGGGTCAAAGCCGTGTGCACACAGCAGGGTCTGAGCCTGGCCGAGGCTGGTGTGCACAGTAGGGTCTGAGCCTGGGCGAGGGGCACAGCAGGGTCTGAGCCTGGCCGAGGCCGGTGTGCACAGTAGGGTCTTGAGCCTGGCGAGGCCGGTGTGCACAGCAGGGTCTGAGCCTGGCCGAGCGTCCGCGGGGCACAGGCTGGTGTGCACAGCAGGGTCTGAGCCTGGCCGAGGCCGTGTGCACACAGCAGGGTCTGAGCCTGGCCGAGGCCGGTGTGCACAGTAGGGTCTGAGCCTGGCCGAGGCCCGTGTGCACAGCAGGGTCTGAGCCTGGCCGAGGTCGGTGTGCACAGCAGGGTCTGAGCCTGGCCGAGGTCGGTGTGCACAGTAGGGTCTGAGCCTGGCTGAGGCCGGTGTGCACAGCAGGGTCTGAGCCTGGCCGAGGTCAGGGGGCACAGCGCCCGGGCGGGGACTCACCCAGCAGGTCATTCTGTGGCAGCCACTCCAGGAGCTTGGTGTTGTTGCCCAGGTTCCTGGGTCTGGCTCCGGAAAACCTGCAGGGCAGCAGACAGGCCCTCAGACACCCCCCACGGCCCCGGCGACGGCGCCGCGCTAACCCGGAGGGGCCATGTCGCTGTAGAGCCATCTTCCTCAGCAGCATCGATCGATCGGCTCCTCCTCACGTTCTCACCGGCAGGGGGGGTCCCGGCTTACACCGAGGCCTGGCCGCCGCTTCTCGCCGTGCGCGGAGCGGCAGGAGCGCCCGCAGGAGCCGGTGGTGGAGCCCAGCCCCCGGACCAGAGATGGACCCGGGGGCCAGCTCCGCCCCGGACCTGGGCTGGGAGGCAACAGGATGTGCTGTCCCCCCTCCCCCGGGACAGGGTTCGGGGCGGCTATTGGGCTGGCCTGCCTTGGTCTCTGCAAGGAGAACGTGGATGGTTTACTGGATGTGAAGTGTCCCACACCAAGCGGAGGGCACTTTCCGAGGAGCGAACAGGAAACCCCGCGGATGGGTCTGGGGGCCGGCCCGCCATTTCCTGCCAGCTGGGAGCTGGTAGAGGGCACGCTGCGCCCTCTGAGCCAGCTGTCATGGCGCCAGGTCACCACTGGGTCCCAGGGCCCATGGGGGGCAGGGGGAGGGGGCACTGCCCAGCTAACACCTGCCCAGGGTGGCGGCTCCAGGGCAGGTGGGGCAGCACCTGCAGGGGGCGGGGTGCCTCTGGGCTTCATCACACATCAGGGCCTCGCACGCCGCTGTGCCGTCCGGCCTGGCCTCAGGGGAATGCTCTACCCACTCACCACCTCCCACGGCCCCTTCCAGCCCTGCCTGCGGCACAGAAAGGACAGTGAGGACAGTGGGTGAGGGGCCACCCCCCCCCCTGCATCCCCACTGGACCTCCCAGCAGAAGGCCAGCAGAGCCCGCCCCCGGCCCCGGCCCGCGCAGAGTGGAGAGGGGAGAAGGGGTGTCGCCGCGCCGTACCTCCAAATCACCTTCTGGGGCAGCCGCGCCAGCGCCCCGGCCAGCTTGTGGGCGATGTCCTCCGACAGGTACTTCACGCCGGCGCCGAAGGACACGAGGACGAAGCCGTGCTGGCCGGCGCCGTCCACCCAGCTCTGCAGGTCCTGGAAGAGCCGTGCGCGAGTGTGGCCGGCCAGCTCCTCGTCCGCCCGCCCGCCCGCCCGCCCGCCCGCCGACGGAAGGGCCTGGCTCAGGCCCGGTGGGACCCGCTCAGAGCACCCGGGCCTCCGCACCCCTTTCTCCCTCGGGGGCGCTGACTGCACCTCAGAGGCGTCGGGGCCAGAGGAGGCCCCCAGGAGGCCACCTTCCCAGGATGACGTCCCACTCGCAGCAGGACCGTGGCCGGAGCCTCCTTCCGCGGAGAGGAAGGAGGACGGGGTGTGGGTGCTCTGCACAGGTACTTTACACACACACCCACACCCGCACTGGTCTCACATGCACACACCCACACACACACTGATCACAGACACACACTGATCTCACCCACACACTGATCACAGACACTGATCTCACACACTTTACACACACACCCACACCCGCACACTGGTCTCACACACACACACACTGATCACAGACACACACTGATCACACACACACACACACACACTGATCACACACACCACTGATCTCACCCATACACTGATCACAGACACTGATCTCACACACTTTACACACACACCCACACCCGCACAATGGTCTCACAAACACACAGTGATCATAGACACACACTGATCTCACACACACACACACACACACACACACTGATCACACACACACACTGATCACATACACACACACTGATCTCACCCACACACTGATCACACACACACACACACACACTGGTCTCACACACATACACACACACACACACACAATGATCACAGACACTGATCTCACACACTTTACACACACACCCACACCCGCACACTGGTCTCACACACACACTGATCACAGACACACACTGATCACACACACACACACACACACACTGATCTCACACACAGAGACACATTGATCACACACACACACACACACACACACACACACACTGATCTCACACACACAGACACATTGATCACACACACACACACACACACACACAGCATGTGCACACAGCGTCAGCACTCACAGCGTCAGCACGCCCACTGCCCTGTCCCAGAAGGCTCGCCGTTTCTAAGTGCTTTCCCCGGGGCTGGCAGTGGCCTGCGGGGCGGCCGGCCCCGGCGAGGGCGGCGGTGGGATCAGCTCTCAGGGACCGTCCCACAGGGCCTCTGGAGAGGCTGCGTCTCCCTTTCCACGAGGCCTGGCATCTTGGCTCTCCATTTGGCTGTCTCTTCGCGGGGCAGTGACTGGAAAGGGAAGCGGAATCCGAAACCCCGGCCGGAAGGGAGCTCTGTTTCAAGGCTCCTAAGACCTCCAGGAACCACAGGGCCGACAGCACACGGCCGTGACCGCAGGCAGAGGCACCCGGAGAGCAGTGTGGGGAGTAGCCCCCCGGCGGGAGAAGCTGACAATCCCACCAGAAGAAAAAAACAAACGCCAAAAGGTGGAAAGATGGGCTCAGATCCGCCTTCTGCTGCAGGAAAGCTGCTGTCCAGGGAATGAGGGTCCGAGCTGGTGGGCAGCGTGAGCTGGGGGGGCGGGGTGCGGCGGTGAGGCAGCCACGCTTGCTGCTCGCCATGGATCCGTCGCCGACCATTCCCGGTTCTGCTGAGAACAGGCCGGCGGATGGGACCCAAGGCCCAGCGCTCCGGCATATCAGGTCCACCCAGGACTCAGCAAACACCACCCAGCACCGACCTCCGACTCCCCGGCCCCAGGCGGACAGGAGAGCCAATGAATGAACTCGGCTCTCAGAGAGAAGACCCCTCTGGCATGGCCTCAGCGCCCGGGACTGACCTCCTGTCGGTCTGACCCCTGTGCCGCTCATTCCCCACAGCCCTGCCACCCCGTCCTCCTCCATCCTCACTCACACGCCCTCCCATCCTCCTCCATCCTCACTCACACACTCTCCGTCCTCCTCCATCCTCACTCACACACTCTCCGCCCTCCATCCTCACTCACACACTCTCCGTCTCTCCATTCCTCACTCACAGCCCTCGTCCGCCTCCATCCTCCAATCAACGCCCTCCTCCTCCTCCATCCTGCACTCATCACGCCCTCGCTCCTCCACCATCGACACGCACACTCCATCCTCCTCCATCCTCACTCTCACACAACTCGCTGCTCCTCCATCCTCACTCACAGGCCCTCCTGTCCTCCTCCATCCTCACTCACATGCCCTCCTCCTCCTCCATCCTCACTCACACGCCCTCTGTCCTCCTCCATCCTCACTCACACACTCTCCATCCTCCTCCATCCTCACTCACACGCCCTCCTCCTCCTCCATCCTCACTCACACGCCCTCTGTCCTCCTCCATCCTCACTCATGCACCTCTGTCCTCCTCCATCACTCACTCACTGCCCCTCCGTCCTCCTCCTCCATCCTCACTCACACGCCCTCCTCCCTCCTCCATCCTCACTCACTCGCCCTCTGTCCTCCTCCATCCTCACTCACACGCCCTCCTCCTCCTCCATCCTCACTCACACGCCCTCCATCCTCCATCCTCACTCACTCGCCCTCCGTCCTCCTCCATCCTCACTCACTCGCCCTCCCCTCCCGCCTCCCTCCTCATCCTCACCACGCCCTCCATCCTCCCTCCTCACTCCCTCGCCCTCCGTCCTCCTCCTCCATCCTCACTCACACGCCCTCCGTCCTCCTCCATCCTCACTCACACGCCCTCCTCCTCCTCCATCCTCACTCACACACTCTCCGCCCTCCATCCTCACTCACACGCCCTCCTCCTCCTCCATCCTCACTCACACGCCCTCAGTCCTCCATCCTCACTCACATGCCCTCTGTCCTCCATCCTCACTCACACGCCCTCCTCCTCCTCCATCCTCACTCACACGCCCTCCTCCTCCTCCATCCTCACTCACACGCCCTCCGTCCTCCATCCTCACTCACTCGCCCTCCGTCCTCCTCCTCCATCCTCACTCACACGCCCTCCATCCTCCATCCTCACTCACACTCCCTCCTCCTCCTCCATCCTCACTCACAGGCCCTCCTCCTCCTCCATCCTCACTCACACGCCCTCCTCCTCCTCCATCCTCACTCACACACTCTCCGCCCTCCATCCTCACTCACACACTCTCCGTCCTCCTCCATCCTCACTCACACGCCCTCCTCCTCCTCCATCCTCACTCACACACTCTCCGCCCTCCATCCTCACTCACACACTCTCCGTCCTCCTCCATCCTCCCTCACACGCCCTCCTCCTCCTCCATCCTCACTCACACACTCTCCGCCCTCCATCCTCACTCACACACTCTCCGTCCTCCTCCATCCTCACTCACACGCCCTCCATCCTCCATCCTCACTCACACGCCCTCCGCCTCCTCCATCCTCACTCACACACTCTCCGCCCTCCATCCTCACTCACACGCCCTCCTCCTCCTCCATCCTCACTCACACGCCCTCCTCCTCCTCCATCCTCACTCACACACACTCTGTCCTCCTCCATCCTCACTCACATGCCCTCCGTCCTCCATCCTCACTCACACGCCCTCCTCCTCCTCCATCCTCACTCACACGCCCTCTTCCTCCTCCATCCTCACTCACATGCTCTCCGTCCTCCATCCTCACTCACACACCCTCCTCCTCCTCCATCCTCACTCACACGCCCTCCTCCCTCCTCCATCCTCACTCACTCGCCCTCTGTCCTCCTCCATCCTCACTCACATGCCCTCCTCCTCCTCCATCCTCACTCACACGCCCTCCTCCTCCTCCATCCTCACTCACATGCCCTCCTCCTCCTCCATCCTCACTCACACGCCCTCCTCCTCCTCCATCCTCACTCACACGCCCTCCATCCTCCATCCTCACTCACTCGCCCTCCGTCCTCCTCCATCCTCACTCACTCGCCCTCCGTCCTCCTCCTCCATCCTCCATCCTCACTCACACGCCCTCCTCCTCCTCCTCCATCCTCACTCACACACTCTCCGCCCTCCATCCTCACTCACACACTCTCCGTCCTCCTCCATCCTCACTCACACGCCCTCCTCCTCCTCCATCCTCACTCACATGCCCTCCGCCCTCCATCCTCACTCACACGCCCTCCTCCTCCTCCATCCTCACTCACACGCCCTCAGTCCTCCATCCTCACTCACATGCCCTCCGTCCTCCATCCTCACTCACACGCCCTCCTCCTCCTCCATCCTCACTCACACGCCCTCCTCCTCCTCCATCCTCACGCACACGCCCTCCCGTCCTCCCAATCCCTCACTCACTCGCCCTCCGTCCTTCCTCCCCATCCTCACCTCACACGCCTCCATCCTCCCATCCTCACTCACACTCCCTCCTCCTCTCCATCCTCAATCACAGGCTCCCTCCTCCTCCCCATCCTCACTCACACGCCCTCCTCCTCCTCCATCCTCACTCACACACTCTCCGCCCTCCATCCTCACTCACACACTCTCCGTCCTCCTCCATCCTCACTCACACACTCTCCGTCCTCCTCCATCCTCACTCACACACTCTCCGCCCTCCATCCTCACTCACACACTCTCCGTCCTCCTCCATCCTCACTCACACGCCCTCCTCCTCCTCCATCCTCACTCACACACTCTCCGCCCTCCATCCTCACTCACACACTCTCCGTCCTCCTCCATCCTCACTCACACGCCCTCCTCCTCCTCCATCCTCACTCACATGCCCTCCTCCTCCTCCATCCTCACTCACACGCCCTCCTCCTCCTCCATCCTCACCACGCCCCTCCTCCTCCTCCATCCTCATTCACACGCCCTCCTCCTCCTCCATCCTCACTCACACGCCCTCCTCCTCCTCCATCCTCACTCACACGCCCTCCTCCTCCTCCATCCTCACTCACAGGCCCTCCTCCTCCTCCATCCTCACTCACATGCCCTCCTCCTCCTCCATCCTCACTCACACGCCCTCCTCCTCCATCCTCACTCACACGCCCTCCTCCTCCTCCATCCTCACTCACAGGCCCTCCTCCTCCTCCATCCTCACTCACACGGCCTCCATCCTCCATCCTCACTCACA